TTATATTTAGTATTGTAATATAATTAGTCCACACGAGTTTATCTTGATTTGTTTTATAATCAATTTTTATTTATTATATAAATTATATTAGAATTTAGATATTAGAAATTGAATACTTAAGTTTGATTAATAATTAAAATATATTAATAATTTAATTTAATATATATTAAATTATATATATTAATAATTTCATATATATTATTATACATTCATATATATAAATATATATTAATATAATTTAATAATATTAATAAATATTTTATATTAATATTTAATAATAAAGTTAATATATTATATAATATATACTACCTCCTATATATGTCGTTTTGAGAAGATTCACACTAATTAAGATTATATTTTTTGTCAATAATAACCTTAATAATAACTATTTAATGAAGATAGAGATGAATGTTTTGAGAAAAAAGTGAAGAGTGAATATGAAAAGACGTAATGTATTTATTAGTTAAATGAGGGTAATAATGAAAAAAATGTACAAAAGATCCAAAACGACATTTATTTAGGTAATAGTTGATAAAGCTAGGATGACATTTAAAAAAAAAATAGGAGGAGTATTATATTAGTATGATTGTAATATTATAATTTATGATAGTATAAAATATAATTAATTATAATGAAAAAAAGTATATTAGTATAAATTATTACGTCATAGGTTATAATTGAGTATCTTGTAAAATAAATTTTATTGATATTGTGTGAGAAGTTATAAATTATTGTGTACGGATAAGATTGTCATAGGAACATTGGATGTAAGTTATATTTGACCTCTTTCGTATTGGTACGGATAAGATTGTCATAGGTCATCTTGGTTCTTGCAAACACTTCATACGTCTGAATCTGTCTTCTAAGTTTCCATTACCGCCTATTTGTTATTGTTGGGAGAGATACCGAGATGGGGCAGTTCAAGGATAGGATGATCACTATCAGAGCAGGGTCCAGTTGTGGCGTGGTATTCGTTATGGAGCTGGATTTTGATATATTATGATATTCGACTTATTTTGTGATTGATGACATTCATTATATTATTGATATATTATGATATTCGACCGTGTTTATACGTTAATTTCGAGTTATGTTTGTTATGCGCTTGTTGAGGATAAAATGAACTAAAAACAAATACAATTAAAAAAATGATATTATTATAATTGGTATAAATTATATTATTATAAATTAGAAATGATACTAGTTTGAAAAAAATATATTAGTATATATTATTATGTTATATATTAGAATTGATTATCTTATAAATTAAAACTTATTACTATTATGTCAAAAGTTAGAAATTATATAGTAGAAGTTAGAAATTGTTATGGTATAGATTTTAAATGACTGTATTAAATTAGAATTTATTACTATTTTGTTAGAGGTTAGAAATTATTGTATTATAAATTAGAATTGATTGTCTTATAAATTAT